CCCTTCTCAAGACCACAGTCAGCCTGACCCATTTTATTGATCAGAACTAACAAAGTCTCCACATTCCTAAGTCCAATGAAATCATTTAAAACCAAACTCTGATTTTTTTTCTTTCCTTTTTTTTTTTTTTTTTGGTGGGGGATGGGGCTGGGAAGACACTGGGAACTGAACCCAGTGCTTCAAGTATGCTAGGCAAGTGCTCTACTATTTAGATACACCTCCAATCCCTCTGATTGATTTTGAAAGTTTCAAATGTCTTCTCTCCCCTGATTGAGGAAGCTTATTTCCTAAAGCAATAGGTCTCACCACTGAGACAGCATCAGAATCCTCAGAGGAACTTGTTAAAATGCCAGTATCTACGTTATGTCATCTCACTTGCATTCTGGTCCCATTATCCTTGACTGCATTCTAACAAGCTCCCAAGACAATTCTGATACTAGAAGCCCCTGAACATCACTTTGAGAAACCACCCTTGGAAGGAAAAGGTACAATAAATGGTACTGCTCATTCACCCAGCTGTATCCCTGAGTTAATAACTAGCATAATGTCCCAGGCACCTCAGGAGATCCAAAGATGGATGGTTGGAGGTGGGGAGAGAAGGAAGGGCTGCACAAAAAAGATGGACACAGGCCAAGAGAGTTCCCAATTAACCAAGCAAAACAGGCTGCAAAAAAGCATTGCATTTCTTATAAAAACGTCTCAGAAAAATGTGTCAATCCAAGGCTGAGTAATTTTTAACAAGGAATTCTCTAAGGGACAGCAGAGCATCTGTAACTTGGAAGACATGATCACAGGACAGACAGACCAGATATGGGCTTGGGAGCCATGAGCTGCAAGTGAATGAAAATGCATCCAATTCAGAATCAAATAAACGCGCCTGGGCCCACAGCCAAGAAGAATTCTTGGACTGGACTTTTATCAGGGACCTAAATTTTAACCAGCTGGAACTTTTTTTTTTTTCCTTCCAAGTACCACCCTATTGCTTTCTACCTTTTGAGATGAAGTATTTGCCTTAAATGGGAAACTTGCACATCATTGTAAAGATGATGCCAGAATCCTGGTTTCCTGAATTGCTGAAGGTGCAAGCTTTGTGGAGGGTAGAAACTGTTTCAGGCATAACATACAAGAAAAGGTAAGAAATCAAGAAATGTTCCTTCCTCCCCTACTGCAGGAAAAGCTATTAAATAAAAATCTTTAGGAGTAGATTCCTAACTCCTTGTTCCAAAAATAGGTTTCTCAACCAGCAAGACTAGGAGAGATGGGGGAACCTTGGTGCAAGTGAATGATATAATTACAGTTACCCATCACAAAGTCATCCCACTATTAAGAAACAAGAATTAAGAGCCAGGGGCTGGGGATGTGGCTCAAGCGGTAGCGTGCTTGCCTGGCATGCGTGCGGCCCAGGTTCAATCCTCAGCACCACATCCACATACCAACAAAGATGTTGTGTCTGCTGAGAACTAAAAAATAAATATTAAAAAATTCTCTCTCTCTCTCTCTCTCTCTCTCTCTCTCTCTCTTTAAATCCTTTCTCACTCTCTCTTTAAAACAAAGATGTTGTGTCTGCTGAGAACTAAAAAATAAATATTAAAAAATTCTCTCTCTCTCTCTCTCTCTCTCTCTCTCTCTCTCTTTAAAAAAAAAAAAAAAGAATTAAGAGCCAGTGTAAATGAAGGAGCCAGCCCGCCTGGAAGTTTTACAAATTGTTACTTCTCTGAGAAAATAGCATTTATTACTCAAAGAGCAACTTTACCTGGCAAGGGCCATAAGAGATTTTTTTTCTAGGAATTGAGGAAGTGTGCCCACAACTCATTTCCCAAACTCTGAGCTGTGTTCAAGATGGTATCAGTCTCTTAATTGCCCCACAAATAATAGAGAGGTTGTGAAACCTGACCACTTAAACCAGGCCAGCTCTTGGCTCCTCTGAGAACAGCTTGAAGGGTCTGTTAGCAGAGCTGCTGAGGGCAGACAGACGGGTAAGTGGGCGGGTGGGCAGGCAGGCTGGCTAGCTACAGCTACCTCGAACATCCTGGGAAAATTCTCATTCCTACAGGGGCAAGGGTTCATGAACAAATGCTCCCTTGAAGAACAAGGGGTTCACTCACTCAACTGGTCTTCTACACCTAGATCTTGCCCCTCCTTCAGGACTCATTTCTGTACCTTGTTGTCCCCTCAGGTTCTGAGTGAAACTCAGATCCACAGGAAGCCCTCTCCTGTGTGTATTACATATAACTGACCCTTATATACCCATATTAGACTATAAACAATCCCAGAGCTGAGGCTGACATCTACAGGGACCCAGACATGAATCAAACATCTAAGTCCCTGTAAACCAGTATTACTGGAGCCCCATGCCAGCAACTGCAACTTCTGGTGGGGGTAGGGAGGGTTTCCTGCAGGAAGTGATGCTAGAGTTGAAAGGGGAAACTGAGGAGGCACAGAGAAAAGGAACAAAGGCAGAAATAGATGCAAAGGCCTTCTATGGAGAGGACATAGGCACCTGGTGCTGAGATCTCTCTCCACACTTCGTAAAATCTATCTCAAAACAGGACTTAGCCTATAATCCCAGCAAGTCAGGAGGCTGAGGCAGAAGGATTGCAAGGAACTTAGCAAGACCCTGTCTTGAAAAAATTAAAAAAAAAAAGGCTGGGGGTATAGTTTAGTGATACAGCGCCCCTGTGTTAAACCCTACAAAAGTAGGAGGGAGGATTCAGCAGGAAGGCTGCAGGGTCTAATTGGGTTCAACCTACCTTTACAGGGTTCCCAGGTTCTGAAGCCACCAACAAACTAGTCTAAAGACACAGGGTGAACAAATACTAGCTAAGCAGTCTGGTGAAAACCAAAGAATAAGCACCTGCATGAGAAAGTCAAAGATATGGCATTCCTAGAGGGCTTCCCTGGTGAAATCACCAGAGCCAAGTATTAAGCTTGGCAAGGGATTCTTATGAAGGTAAAGGCATCCAGGGAGGAGGGGAAGGTATGCCTTTGTAAAAAGGCATCAGGAATTAGGGAACAGGGAGGGGGATGTAATGAATGAGGTTGCAAGTATGCAAACAGGATGGGTAAACAGGGTCCACAGGATACAGCAGATGGAAGTTTGAGAAGAGTCAAGGCAAAAGCTGTTGAGAGGATCACCCCCAATAAGGCTCTGCAGAAGGGGAAAGGAGGTCAGCATTAGAGAGAGGTGACTGAGATGAGAATCACCATTAATTCTGTCAGGAGTATAGATTTGGGGAGGGCCACACATTCCCACAGGTACAGAAAACAAAACCACCATCTTGGCTTCTTCAGAGCACTACCATCCCCACAACATTAAAACTTCATAAGCTGTGTATACTGGCACATGAAGCCAACTAGGCAACAGCAGAAAAACAGCAAACTGGACTGATCCATCTAAACCATGAGTGACATGTAAACTCAGAATAAAATACCTGTGATGCTGTTACAGTTAGTCAAAAGCCAAAATCTGTACAGATCCAAAATTTTAGCAGTATGGATAACACTAAACAGACTTAAGAAAACTTGATATCTATTAGAAAAAGAGCAGTGACGTTTTACAATAGAACAAAATAAGAAAAAGTTTTTTCCTTAAATGGGAAGGAATGGTAGAATTTACGTTAAATTCACTAAGGGTGGGAAAAGTCAGGTACATCAGCTATTGGGGCTAGGGACATCCCAGCTAATTGGCTCATACCTGGTTTTCTACACAATTTCTCTATATGTGTGGGGCAAGTGAGCAGGAAGCATTAACCTGTGCCCCTGGGCAAGGTGTCATGGCCTACCTTTTATCTGTGCTGAGGCTTTTCACAGTCTCCCAGAAAAGGTAGGACAACCTTGGTCTATAACTACCTCCATACCCATCCCTGGGACTAGGGAAAACAGAAATCACTCATTTCCTCCCACTTTCCAGATGAGTAAACAGAGGCTTTTGGCGCCTAGGAACAGAGCCAAAGTCAGGTACCTGGCTGTCAGAGTGCTAAGCCTGTGTTCTCTTTGGAAGTTTTAAAGCGTGAGTGCCCCTACCCGGTGGCGGCCCTAGCCTCTGTGGAAGGCACTGACCAGACGAATAGGAATCTCCAGGTCCCAGGGCCTCCCAAGCCCCGGAGCTCAAAAGCCGACCCTGGGTTGGGAGGCAGTGTCCCGGCGCACATCTTTCATCCCCAAAGCCTCACCGCCCTGACAGCGTCAAAGGAGTGTCCCGTTTGGGGAAAAGGGTTCCAACTACACGGCGAAAGTCTGGGCATCTCTCCTCTCCTCACGGGCACCTGACTGAGGTGACAAACTCTTACTGCCCTTTCTTTGACCATAAAAAACACCCTCAACTCGGGTCTGGGGCAGAGATGGGGATTCGGGTAACAACCGTGAGATCATTCGTGAGACGAAAAGTTAAACGGGGAAGCAAAGTTTCTCAGGAAGTCTGGAGTCCGAAATGGGGTGGGAGTAGGATGACGACCCTAGGCTAGAAGGAACAAAGGGAACACAACAGATGGGTGCATCGTTCGCCAGCGCTCCAGGTGCCCTCCCTGCCCGCCCTGAGCCTTTGCACAGCTGGGAACTGGAGGTCCGGGAGAACCCCACATCCTCTCTGAGGCTCCCCGTCATGCAGACTGTAAGGGGATCCCAGCTCCAGACGGCGCAGCCCTGGGACGGAGGGCCGAGAACAAAGGGTGGGGCGCACTCCCCCCGCCTCGTCGCCCCCTCACACCCGCCCTCTAGAATCGGACCCCAGCCAGCGGCCGCGCCTCATTAGCAACACAAAGCCAGAGGTCGGGCGGCCCCTTTCATCCCGGCTGGGGCGGGCGGACGCGCGACCCAGGAGGGGAGAAGCGAGGACAGCTGAAGAAGCTCTAGGACCAGGATCTTGGCGGCAGACTGGACCGAGAGCAAACAGGTCGCCCGGGCTTGTCTGCCCGCGAGCACCTGTGCGCGCCGCGCCCCTGCCTCTCCCAGCGCCCCCTACTAGTTTGGAGACCTCGAGAAACCCGCCGTCCTCGCCTTACCCTCCAGCCACAGGTGTCGGCGCCCCTCGAGCGGCCGGAGCCGCCCGCGGCCACGGCCAGTTGCGAGCCATTGAGGCAGGCATTGACAGTGAAGAAGACAGAACAGAGCTGCAGCCACGGGGCCATGGCCGTGCGCTCGCCCAGCCGGGCCCTTCTCCTAGCCCCGGCCGCCTGCCGCTGACCAGCCCCGAATGGGCGGTGGCAGCGGCGGGGAGCGTGGCGCACTGAGCATGCGCCGCCGGCCTACGCCCCGCCTCTTCCCTCGAGGTCCCGCCCCCAGCCTCAGTTCTTGTGTACAGATCCTGCCCCTCTAGACTGGCCATCCCGTCTTGGCCCGCCCTTCTGGTCACTACCAAACAKCTGCTGAGTCTCTGGCAATTGCAGGTTTATTCCCCCTCGCCTAAGAATTTTTTTTTTTTAAACAGAGGATTTTTCCAAATGATGCCTGCTCCATGCAAAAACTTGGAAGAACGCAAAGAACATAGTAATTTTAAAAATAATTTAATAAGCACCTGCTATGTGCCAGATCCCTTCTTGTGTCCTCCCAATCACATAAGGAAATGTTAGTATTATTGTTATCCCAGTTTTAGGAGTAGAAAAGTTAGCTCGACTTCAGATTTAGAGAAATCCTCACTCTACATTTACTACCGGGACCTCAGACAAATGACTTGCTTTCTCCACAGTACTGTTTCCCCCATAAGCCAGAATAATAAGGGTAAGAATACTCATCTGGGGAGGATTCTTTTGGTTAACATATAACAAGGGTTCAATAACTGCTCCAACCTATCATCAACTAACTTGCATAGATAGGGTCACTGAGCTAGTACCCATTAAACCTGAATTCAAAGTCAGATCTTATTGAAAACAATACTCTCGACCACTACAATTGTCAAATTTACCCTTGTGAAGTGGGTATTATCTCTGGAAGATGAAGCTGAGGTCCAGACAACTGGAGAAAACATTACACAGATTTTCACTAAAATCCTCCCACCTCTTTGCCTCATATCTAAACACTTAAACCACATCACTTTGTCCCTCTGGGTTGCMCCCACCCTCATCTAGGCTACCACCTCCACCTCTGCAACAGCTTTCTGAATACTTTTTCTGCTTCCACTTGTATCCCTATATTCAATACATTTGTTCACACTGAAATCAGAGAGATCTTCTAAAAAAAGTAAATCACCCAGCAAATGGCACAGCTTAGTGACTTGGGAGGCTGAGGCAGAAGGATCACAAGTTAGAGGCCAAACTCAGCAACTTAGTGAGGCCCTGAGCAATCTAGTGAGACCCTGTTTCAAAATATAAAAAATGGAAGGAGCTCAGTGGAAAAACACCCTGGGTTCAATCCCCAGTACCAACAGTAAAATTTAAAATAAATAAATAAAATTTTAAAAGTAAATCAGACTACTGATTTCCCTTGATTAAAACTCTTCTGTGGGGCTGGAGATGTATCCTAGTGGTAGAGCACTTGCCTAGCATGTGCAAGGCCCTGGGTTCAACCCCCAGCACTGTAAAAACAAAACAAAACTCTTGTGTGGTAGTTTTGTTGATGTTGTTTGGCAATTTTGTTGTTTTTTGGGTTTTGGGTTTTTGACTAGGGATTGAGCCTAGGCRGCACTCTACCACAAAGCTAATCTCCAGGCCTTTTAATTTCATTTATTTTTATGTATTTATTCACTTATTTTTGCCTTGCTGAGGATTGAACCCAGAGCCTCATGGATGCTAGGCAAATGCTCTGCCACTGGGTTACATTCTCAGGCCCTCTTTTGTTTTATTTTGAAACAGGGTCCTATTAAGTTACTCAGGTTGGCCTTGAACTTACAATCCTTCTGCCTCAGTCTCCTGAGTTGCTGGTATTTTTTTTTTTTT